CTATTTTATATATTATATACACTGACAAGCGATTAAATTATAAAATAAAACTAAAAATAGTTCAAAAGTATTGCCGCTTATTTAAGATTTATAATGATCTAAAAATGATTAAGAGCTTATGTATGTCGAAGAAATATATTTCTTGGAAGGGCAATAAATAATAAATAAGAAATTCAATAAAAAGCTTCAGAATTTTAGTTTAAAATAAAAATATAAATATATTTAGTATTTTAAAGTAAAATGTATCTATTCTATTTTTATTCTTTTTAGCCTAATAGTTTTGTTCTTCACTTAAAAGACTCTCTTAATTTAGAAAATCAATTTCATATTCAAAAACAATTTAATTGTATAGTTAAAAGCAATTTTAAAAATAAATCTCTATTTTTATAAAAAATTATTATAGAATACACAGATGTAAATCAGAAGTATGTAGGTTACTATCTGTTTTAAAAGGGCACTGGACTATAGGTCGGCATGAGGCCGAGCTTAGACTATCCTGTAGTATTCTCTATAGTACGTGTCTACTTGCACCAAATCACCTGTGTCTATATCCAGCCTTATCTGGAACCAGGTTTCAGCTAATGGGTTCTACACTCTTCAAAATACTTGGCAACATTTCCAGCGTTAACGTTGATCAGATTGTTGCATTTATTAATGCTTCCGATTGGTTCTGACATGATCATTCTCCTACACACCATTTAGAGGAATTGTGGAATCAAAAAGGCTTTTTAGCTACTTCAGGGAGACTCATTTCTTTCTTGACTTCATGTAACCAAACATATTATAGAATATCTTCTTAACATTTCTCAATTATGAATTATACACAACTTAGTATTCCCTTCTTCTGCTACATTGTAGTCTTTAACTACAACTACAAAGAAGCTGTGCAACTCCCATCTTTTTTATAATACTACTTCAGCTGCTAAGGTTTTTGTTGCCGGTAACGCCAAGTTCTGTCATATTAGTTCTCATTCTTAAAACCGAGTTTGTGGATTTACCCACAATTCTTTTCACAAAACTTTAAAGTAAAGCATACATATATGATTGTATATATAATTGTGTACCGTGCTACAGAACTACCTAATCTAACTTTTGGAGATTTTATTTCGACTTCCAAGTCCTTATTTCCTTATGTTATAAAATCAGGCTTTAATGTTACCTCACAATATCATTCTAATAGATCAGCATTTCACCCAAAATTTTGAGTTTAAATATTCTTTGTATTTGTAAACGCTTATAGTAAATTATGTTAAACACTTTAGTTTAGCAGTTAGCATATAGCAACTGGCTAAATATATCCGCCAATTCCTCATAATAGGAATCTATGAAATCAAGGAGTTAAACCTTTGTCTGAAGAGAATCGAAAATAGTGATATAATATGTATAGGAACAAAAGGATTCTTTTGGGTATGTAATCTTCTAAGATTGAATATATTTTCTCTATTTTATTGTTCTAATCGCAATGTCCTCTTCGCAATATTTTGTTTTTAGGACTTTTTAGATCATACAAACATCCACCTAATTTTTATGGTTATGAAGTTAATACTGACTCTTTTTTTTTTTGTTGATTCTACGCTCGTTTGACAAAACACAATATTGTACTATTATGCATTCTAATAATGATTATTGTTATATTAAAAACAAATGCATTTCAGTTTTATAAGTTAATCTTTCTAAATAGACGCCAGCCCGCCTGCATTTCTAAATAAAACTTCTCTCATTTCGCATTAGGAATAGTAGATTAACTTCTGCGACAAGCGTAAAATATCGGTATTATATTTTCTCATAGTATTTCTTTACCTAAGACATAGAAATATAGTTTTTTTAAAAGATATGATCTAACGTGTATAAAAACCTGGTTGACTGGTTGACTTTTGTATCATTTAAATAGTAATATATGTTAGTATATACAGATTTTAATTTTACACACGACCGCTCTTTGAAATAATTTTCTTCTACTCTTTTCTTTCTATATAATTTTCTTAAAGCTTAAATTTGGTTTTTACCTTGTATGGACTGCACATAGTAAACATTTTGTTAATATTATATTATTGCCATCCTAGTCAGCTATCTATTTCCAATTTATTTAAATATAGGGAAATAAATTATTTTTATTTTTTCATATTTTTTTAATGATTCTAAAACCACTATTGTGGACCGAAACCATGTATTCCGGAAATACAATGCAACTAAAACTGTTATATTATAAATTCTTCTGATGTAAACAAATACCGTATTTGAAGACCGTTTTACGGTCTTTGCATTGAAATATAAGAGCATGAAAATACGCTATAGACGGCATCTCTAACGAGTAAAAAATACATATATAACTTACTTTTAAAATTTCAAGAAATCACTTAGATAATAGATTATATATATATATTTAATTTATTTTAAATATAATAATGCATCGGAACTAGTAATAAATTTAAATTAAAATCCCAATATAAAGTTTAACCAATGCATCCATATCAATAAATATTGAAAATGAAGTCCTTATATGTCCATCAATGATTAAAATATGCTTTGTCAGTGAAAAAATTATGTGTTGAAAAGGTTTCTAAAGAAATTTTGATGTACAATTTAGATTTAAAATGGAACGAAATTTGTTCAGAGAAAAATTTACTTATCCAATATTAAATGAAATGACTGAAAATGATTATAACTGATGAAATGACCAATCACACTCTTCTCTAGACATAACACCCTGAATAGTTTTTTATTTTTTAAACTCAAGAAAGTACTCAAAGGACAACGTTTTTAAATAATAACATAAAGACGAAATTGTCAAGCTAACATACATAAAAATTTATTTCAATTGTATACCTATGATGGCATTAGTCCATCATATCAAAAAAGGACGGACTTCTTTGAATAAAATGGAATAAATATAGAGTGCTTTTTCAGCTGCATGAGAACTATCGATATCGATAACTATGATTTGATAGCTGAGATTGTCAAACCTTGTCGACGACTATATTTCCAGAAGTAGTCCTGTTAAGTAGCTCCCACATTCTTGTGATTTAACTTCTCTCGATTAGTTTTTATGTTAAGGAGATATGTTGTCATGCCGACAAACCAGCAACTCTTGAAGCATATTTATTGAAAAAATAGTCAAAAATTGGACTGATCGAATGGTTCATGTAGGTCGTATCTGCGGTGAACATATGCTGGAAGTCATATTCAAAATATACTCCAAATTATATTTAAAAAAAATTTAATTTCAACAATATTTTGGTCTTGTATTATCATTTCAAGTTATGATACAGTTAAAAAAAAACCTGATACATAAAAATAAAAGATTAAAATAATATATATTATTTGAAAAAATTAAATATTTTTATTGATTTTAATCACACCGAATTATCTTAATTTAAATTTAAGATTTAGTATAAAACCTCAACTAACAAGGCGAACTTATTGTTAATTTTTTCTTTTTCATTTGCCGCTAAAGAGTTTTTTAATTCATAAATTATTAAAATTCAGATTCATAATTTATTGTATATAAAATTTATTTTTATATATTATTTTCACAATATTTATTTACAGTTATAACACATAAGATTGAAATCGTCAATTATAACGCACTTAACTTAACCTTAAGCTGACCCCACTTGAGCTCGAATTATTCCCTTATCAATAATCAATTCATATTATTGATAAGAGAATATCAATAATATATTAAATTTACAATATTTTGTGGATTTAAAAATTTATATCCGTGTACATGCGAAAAACAATATATTAAAAATATATATAATATATTTAAATTTATTTCTTTTATATAAAAAATATTATTTTTATCTTAAAAATTAGTGAATAAACGTCAGTGATTCCTTCAAACCAATAAAGTTTGAGTATTAAAGGAAATTTTTTTCTTGGAGAATAAGTGCGCTAGCTTTTAGTAATAGTCAAGGGGAAGCAGGCTTGAGGGAGTGGATCCATCCAAAATTAAGTAGAAGACTTCAGTTAGAAATATCTATAAATATTCATTATTAATGCATTATAATATAGTACGATAAGAATTATTTTTTAAATATCGGAAGTTAATAGATATCCCTCTCCCGAAGTAAAATTCTGTTCATGGGCATGACCTACGTTAATTAAAAAATCAAGTATAGAAAACTTATAAACAAACTTATACTTATACTTAGTAACTTACTTATACTTAGTAACAAAATGCCGTAATGAAAAATCCAACTGCAAAAATAAAAACGTTGACCTTGTTTAAAAAATTTCAATATTTCTATTTGGGTTTATGAACTAAAACAAAAAGGGAAATCCCAAAAAAAAAACCCAAATTTTAAATCTTTAAAATTAATTAATTTGTTGGTTTTTATTATCAAACTTTTAATCATTAAATTTGGAAATATTAAATATGGGCATTGGACTCTGTTGAACTTTCTCACCAAAACATTCTAGCATTTGCATATAAACATAAATATATTCATATACATATATATCTTCAGAGTTAAAAGATTTGAAAACACACTTTCCAAAACATACATATATATATAAATAAATTTATATAAATAATATTAAAACCGATCTGAACATAAAAGTGTGAAGTATAATTCTTGATTTTTATTTTTTTTTCCTCAGCGACCACAACAGTCCATTGTAGACAATACTTTTTTAATAAATTCTACCCAGCGTTCTCCAACTGTCGTCTCTCCTGTACAGCCTTGTATTTGTCATACTCTTTGAACACTTTCTTTATTCTTTATTCTTTATTTTGCTGATTTGAAAATATATTATTGAGATATATATATGTTTTTAAATATAGATTTATTTTTTTGTAGACTAGTGTAATTGATACTGAATAGAACAAAGCATATATAATATATTTGAAAGGTTTTGAAACTTAAGTAAAGCTGAAGCTAACCTTTTCTTCTCTCTACATTAAAGACTATACTGTAAATTATCCGCTTACTTAGTATCTGAGATGTATTCTCAAATGAATCAGTAATCAAACAAACGTCTCGGAGTTTACTGCTCTATCGGTTCTTGATTTAAATTTGCGAAAATATTATTTGAAAAAATATTTAATTCTACTTAATTCTGTTTATAATAATAAGTGCTCACGTAATAAATGCAAAATAAGTTTTTAAATAATTTATAACTTATCAGTTGGTAGTAGAGTCTATCAATTATTATAATACTACCAACAAGTTTGTTTGTTTTAGTCATAAAATAATAAAATAAAATAAATTATAAAAATATTAACACTCAATAAAATCGTGAGTGAGAAAGACAAAAAAACCTGAAGCATCAATTGAAGAATAAATAATTTATTTAAATAAAGAAATGCTGAACATTTTTTTTTAATACGAGTATTTTGAAGCTTAAAATACTCATCAAAAACTTTGAAGTATATAAATTCAATGAAACAAAACAATAATAAAAAATACTAATAATAAATAAAAATATTTATAATAATAAAAAATTTAATGAGATAAGCAATAAGTTTAAGCAATCTTAAGCAAGATTTGTTTATTTGAACATAAATTAAAATTAAAAACATTATTGCTTTTATCATTTTAGAAAATTGTTTATAAAGATATAGAGCCTCCAAAATCAATACCATAAACTTTTTTTGGATATGTTAACAGTGCCGAACCTCTTGTTGATCTTTAGTGCTGCACATCTGCTGAATTCAATATGCGGGCAAAGTGGTAAGAAAATTAGTCAAAATACTGAGCAGTATAATACATATTTTTTTTATTTGAGGAGACTTTAACCCAATAACACCATCTCTTTGGAATGAACACTTTCCCCTCTAATCCGGAAGAGAGTTGGTTAAACTTTATTCCAGTACTTAAAAGTTAAGGTTTATCTAAGCCAAGAAGCATGAGAGTAGCGTAGGGAAAGAGAGGTTGATAAAAGGGGATAGGATTTTTGCGCAAACGACGGGGATAGGTTAACTATGACCAGTGTCGCAAAAGTCACGGTTGATGGAAACACCTGAATACCTCTTATCGAAATATCAGATCAGGTATTGGGTGACTTAGAATCTATGACCAGGGTCAAGAATAATTTTTCTTCACCAATATATATGATGTCATATGTCACAGCATTGTACGTAGAACAATGTCAGTAAGCTGAATCTGTATGGAACTATACTCTGACACATATGAGTATGAAGATTATTACTCGAGATCAACAAAATGAATAATTTTTTCAGTAGGCGCCATCTATCAACGAAAAACCAAATTTTCAGTTTACTTTTTTTATGAAAGTTATTATTTCAATGTTTTTTTTGTAAATTGAACTCATTTCTTAGTGACAAACTTAAACATACTAATTCGTTAGACTATCCCTTCATTATAACTTAAGCTTAAGCTACCAGTTATTCATATTTAAGATAAATACAATAATTAATTAAAATGAGGTAATTGTTTCGCTGTAAATTGTTTTACTTCCGATATAGTACTTATTTATAGAACTTCATGACATGACAAACATTTTAATAATAAACACTCATTATTTTTAATTATTATTTATAATCACTGTATCTCGTCATGTCTTGTATTGTGTTCTAAAAAAATTAACATTGACTTTTAAATCACGTTCTTAATATAATTGCCAATATATTTAGCCTATGATATTTGTTGTTGCTTTCCATGCCACTCCACATGGATAACCTAATTGGAAAAACCTAATTGATTTGCTTTCTTCGTCAATACAGTAATTCCATGTAGATTAGTGATTCCGGACTATAAACGCGACCACTCATCGAACTCAGTATAATTTACTGTTGTTTGTAGTCGATATTAAAAAAATATATTAATATATTTATAAATAATTATCACCTATTATTTATGTCTTTAATTTTTAGCCTTCTGTGTATAAACTAAATATAATATATATATAAAATATAATATAATATTTAATATTATATTATAATATATATATAATTTAGTATTATATATTTAGTATTATATTATAATATATAATATTGAGTATTATGTATGAAACCATGCTAACAAGAGTTATAAGGGTACGCTCCTTTGATACCCTTGATACCCTTTGATACCCTTATTGTTGACTATGATAATCGAGCTTGAGCACAGACAATTTAGTGTAATATATACATAATTTTTTTTTATATTTTTAGTGGGAGATTCTTGCACAATAGAGTCTATTCCTGGTATTTGTAAAAGATCGCCGGACTGCCAACAGCTGAGTGAGTACGTAAAACGTGGAGATGTGCCGCCAGAATTTTTCGGATGCGGTGTGGCTACAAATGATAACTTAATTTGCTGTCCAAACGCTCCATTGGCGAAAAAAACTATATTGAAAAAGTAATTAAGTTTTGAATATTAAATTCATATTCAAATTATATTCCAATTCTTATTTTTCTAGACTTGAGCCTACTTTGGTCTGGACACAACCAAAGAAAACAACTACTGAACGGGCTACTGAAAAAGGTAATTAGGTTAATATTTATATCCGAAATATGATTATTATATATATGATATATATATAATTATTATATTATTTATATTATTATTATTATTATTATATTATTATTATATTATTATATATTATTATATATATGATATATATATAATAATATATATAATATAATATATATATATTATGTATTATTATTATTATTACGGCATGTTCGGTACAATATTTGATTGTATAAACTTAGCCAATTGACAAAGAATTTGCACAAAAGCTCTCCTATTTTGCCTATTTCTTGCGATAGGCTAGATGTATATGTATGTATATATAGATATATATGATTATATAATTAATTTCAAACAATTTAAAAATTATTAAGAACAGCAAGTTTTTCTGTCAATGTAAGTTTTAATATATTAATAAGATCCTCTTATAGAAGTACCCTGATTATTATATACCCTGACGTAGTTTTGGTTATACCAGTGAGTAAAGATAATAAATATAATAAATATTCACAATAAAATATTATAATAATATAATAATAATACAATATTTATTAATGTATTTATTATCTTTGCTTTGTGTACTGTATTATCTATAAATAAGCAGCGTATATCTATATCATGTCTCGGAATATAAAACATATTCTCAAAAGCGTAACACATTAAAATACAATGTTCGACAATTAAATATACTTTCTGGATCGAAATAGTAATTGTGGAACCCATGTTCCCCCTACAGTTAAATCAATTTATATTAATCAAATTAAGATTCAGTCGTTTCCTTTGCCGTAAGTTGATTTAGGCATGTAAAAAAATATTTATATGTCAGAAATATTTGGGAAAGCTTTTGTTTGTTCGACATTTTTCGTCTCAAATCAGTTGATTTATTTATAATGAGCTCGTAATGAACACAAAATCGTCTAAATATGGTAAAAGGGAAAAATTTTTTGTTTACTTTTCTTGAATATTAGATTTATATTTAGATTTATATATTTAGAAATATATATTTATATATAGATATATAGATTTATATGTATTATATTTAGATTTAGTTTTCATTTTCATACTCTTTTTTAATTTTCTGCTAAGCTTGTCGTTTATTAGAGGATAATATAATCGGAAATCCAAATATACGCTTATTTTCTGGTAGTGAGTCGATTGTCGAACTTGGTGAGTTCCCTTTTATGGTAGGAATTGGCTATAAAAACAGCACACCAGATCGAACTTACGATATTCTCTGTGGTGGCACATTGATTGATGCTAAATTTGTGCTGACAGCCGCCCATTGTATTACGGGACATGGTAATACGCCAATAATAGTTAGACTGGGTGTAACCAATAACACAGATGTGGAACAAATCAAAAATGGCTTAGAAATTCCAATAAAAGTAAGTACTTTATATTATTTATTATTATTATTGCATTATATCTTTTTTAATTTTATTATTTTAACTAAAATTAATTATTGTGTATAACAATAATTATATGAATCGAATGTTTGTAAGTGAAGAAAATTCATGTACATCCACAATATGATCCTGAACTCATATACAATGATATTGGATTACTTGAATTAGAGAAAAGTGCAAAGTTCTCAGTTAACATCTATCCTACTTGCTTATACACCAATATTGAGGATCCACCTGCAAATTCCCAACTGTATATAACAGGTTGGGCATCTACGAAAATCTTTGGTAATTCAACATAAATATTACAGATTTAATATTAATTATATGAATAACGCTGTATTAAAGATATTATTTGTTGAGCAGATCGTTCGGATGTATTACTGAAAGCTGCACAGAGAATTGTGCCACTAAATGTTTGTAATAGAACATTACTAAGAGTGGATGCAGAAAGGAGTCTACAACAAACCCAGCTATGTTCCGACGCTTTGAAATCAGAAAAAAGTCCTTGTTATGGAGATGCAGGTGGACCTTTAAGTATAGTAGTAGATCCTACTTGGAGAATATATCGCGTAATAGGTGTAATATCATCGGGTGTAAGCTGTGGTCTTATACCACCAGATATAAATACTCGTGTAGGCGCATATTTAGACTTCATAGAGAATATTGTTTGGCCAAATTTAAAATAAATTCAAATTGACTTCATCGAATTTTTTTAATTAAAACTGTATATGATAATAATATAAATACATTTTTATAAAATATAGAAGATTTAAACAATGCTATAATAAATAAAATTAATAATAAATTAATACAAGCATACATCCTAAGCATTCCTTCCCAAGAAAAAACAAAAAAGGTTGCTGAACATCTAAAGCAATGAGATTTTTTAAAACTCAAATCCATAAATGATCAGGTAACATATAACATTATAAGAAGTCTGGTAAGAAGTCCGTGCAACAAGCATTTAATCACTAAGCAAGTGGGCAAAAAATAAATCATAAAATTATATATATTATATATATATATATAATTATATATATGGTGGTTTGCTACTATACTTTCGAATCTGTCAAGGATTTCATTTATATTGGCATTGGAGATCAGACTAAGAATCACCTTTGCTAATAGATGCAACTGTGGGTTCAATAGTCATTTGGAATGTATAGCTCTCTCTTGACAAACAAAACTTACGCTTTAAGTACGCTCTAGGTCGATCATCCTATCTGTGCTTCTGTGTTTCGCAGAAGCATAGATGTTATCACAGAATGATGAAGCTTTCGAGAGAAGCTTCCGAGGAGGTTTTCGAGACAAAAGTTCTTCGTAAGATGTTTGGTCTTCTACGAGTACCCGATGAGTACCATGTCCGAGATAACCACGAGCTGTACGTGCTTTATCACGACATTGATACAATCGAGCAAATTAACATCCAACAGCTTCGCTAGCTGGGTCATGTTGTGAGAATGGATGAAGATGCTTTAGTGAAGAAGGTATTAGAAGCGATAGTTTGAGGAAGAAAGCGTGAAAAAAGACCGTGTGGTTCTAAGAACGGCGGGGGGCCATTCGTCGCCAGCGACGACCAAGTGCCGTTCAACGCCTCCCAAAAGGGCTTCACAAGCAGGTCCCAGTGGATTACAACAAAAACAACATATACCGTGAAGAGTGATCAAGTTAAGGAAGCACTGGAGAGAGCGCGCACGTAACAGAGGAACATTTAGAGACATGCTTCGTCAGGTCGAAACTCGTTAACGCGTTAATAGAATCATTTAAGCAAGCAAGTGTTGCCAAAGTTAATAAAATAAAATTTATAAACTCTTACATATGTGCAAAAATTTTATTTTTCAATTTTCAAGTTTTCATTAAAATATATTAAATTAATATAAATATATAAATTAATAAATTATTTTAATTAAAAATAAATTAAATTTCTTAGTCTAATAATTAAGCTACATAAATTATAGTTAAAAGTATTTACAAAATGTTTTAAATTAAGTTGAATAAATATTAATATTTTGTGATTTAATAAATTACATGATGATTTTATAAATATTATATAACCCAATATATATATATGAACAAAAAATTTTAAAAAGAAAATTGCATTGCTAATGGTTTTGTCAGATATTCTATTACTAGCTTTAAATAATATAGGGGAATGAATGAATGAATACTTTTCTAATAAGATATCGCAGATAAAAACCATATTTTCATTTAAGGCAGTTCACATCAAGCCGTTTTTCATTGTAGCTGTTCCCATTATAAACTGCACTCATGAACAGTTCCGATCACCGCCGCTGTACACATAACGCCTTAAAATATGCTATCATTTACAATATTTTGCGTGAAATACATTTTCGCCAGAAAGAACTGCGCTGCCATCCAATGGACACAATTTCAAATAAATATTTTTGAATTCCAATGATTCTACGATAATGTAGTCCAGGTAGATGCGTGGTGAGGCGAGTATACGCCATGTTAAAGGATTTAAGATATTTGTTTGATATTCCAAAAATACGGTAGCAAATGCAGGATCACGCAAATCTTTACCTGGCACCAAAGCACTATACTCGAATCCTGGCTCGTAGTACATTGGCTTGTGGGTGAATTTAATTCGCTCTGTTGTACGTTTACTGCTGTTGCTGTGCAAACGTAAAAATAATGTACCGATTTCGCCGCCATGGTTCAAAGACACATCGCTGCCAGAGACACGTACGGTGACTTTGTAGTGAGCGCCTAAAATATGCAACAAAAAATATTGTTAGTATTGTTGAGCGAGAAAAAGTTTATATATCGATATTTATATCTTTAATATTTAAAGATATCAATTAATAAAATATTATAATTACACCAAAAATTAAATCACCGCTTATCGCTTCTAACCAGACTACTAGAAAAATATGTTATATGCCATTTAAAACCAATGAGTAATAAGAGATTTCCGAAACAGAAGCGGTGCTGTGGTATATTATAATCAGAGATTGTACATCAACCAAACAAGACACCAAATTTTATTATAAAAGAGAGAGACAAAAAGGAAAAGGAGACGGGCAGCCAGAGAGGGGGAGAGGGAGAAAGACAGATAAAGATAGAGACACTCTTTCTCTTTATTAAGAGAAGTAATTAAAAGAGTAAAACAGCAACCAGGACCCGGTATTCCAAGTCTGCTACGGAATACAGTAAAAGCACTTAAACGGGCACTAACTATACCTAGACAGTTAAGAGAACTGTCTTTTTGAAATAGCTTACTTCGTATGAAAAATTAAAATTTGCAACGAACAACATTACATGATTAAGAGAGATTCTTTTCAATCTCGCTCAATTTCAACCGCTCAACTCTTAGGAGCGACTGTCGAACACAGTTCAAACTGTGTTTTAATTATATTCGCACCAAAAACCTTAACGATCTTTTAATATTTTTAGCAACGATATCCATCGTATGAATGGACAAGTAGAAGTCCAATAACTGAAACCCCCGCGGGAACAGGAATAGATTCCCAAGGTAAGACATGCCTGTCGTTAGAGGCATCTAAAATCTAGTATGCATCATTCGATACTGTTTGGAGTAAAAGTAATAGTGAGTTTCACTTGTGGTACCTGACCGAAGGTATAAATTTGGCACCAGGGGAGTTAGGACCCACAATTTCGGCTGACCTGATCATTTAAATGAATGGGTCGCTTAAATGGAAGTATCGTGATAGCTGTGGTTAAAATCCAAAATTTAATAATTTTAAATTTCTGTCCAATAACTGAATTGAACGCACTAGTTCAATTGAATTCACTCTGTACAATTTTGTAATTTCCTTCGTGACTTTACTTATAAAGAATAATGAAAAATATTCATTAACAATAATAAATACTTACGACAAAATGGTTTACTATCTCCAGTCATCAAGTATAAAACTGGTGGCTTATTGGACTTCACAAAACTAGCTCCCCTAATCAAGTGATGTTTGTAATCATCAAAACTATGGTATCCCATACGCATGCAAACATGATCTGTAGCATCACAAGAGGAACATTTACCCTCTTTAAAAGCCTATAAAATAATTACAATAAATAAGATTAAACAATTGTAGAAATATGAAATCATTTATTGTATAATATACGAGTATAGTAAAAATTGTAAGTAAATGTTTACCTCAAATGATTCACAGGTGACGCCCATAAATGGACACTTCGTGAGAATGCTTTCAGTAAAATATTGATAACTGCGTATATGATTGCAACCCAAAAACTCTTGCATACTCTCCATAAGTGTACTGCGACGATTCTTCATATAATCCTGTAATCTAATATCACAGCCTGGATTATCGAAACCATCATTTGGATAAAAATCTACATGACCAATACGTTCATGTATGCCCAAACCACCTTTCATCAAGGGATTTGCATCAGTGTGTATGATATCAACGTAATGAGCATCAGAACGATCCAATCGTACAATGGGATCAGTATCGGTAAACAATGGAGCAGCTGGATCCAGTCCTGTAATACGACCAAGCTTAAGACCGAAATCACGATGCAAGGTATAACCAGCATAACCTGCTAAGTGTGCGCCTAATGAGTGACCAATAAAGTGTACATTGTTAATGTTGCTTAAACGAAGTTCCTCCTTTAAAGAGAAATAGAGAATATATATTTTATTATTATGGTAAGTTTTAACAATAACAATAATAATAATTATAGTTATGAAAATAGTGAGCAATAAGAGCAATATTCATATAATTTCTTTTTTAATTTATATAGTTAAATAAAATTTAACTATACTTACATATATCATATGTATTACATGCGCCGTTATAGCACCCACTAAACGTATATTAGCAACTGCTTGCACATATGGTGGACTTGAACCACCACCCCAATCGATCAAAACTACTGCAGCATTGCCCTCTTTTTCTTTTGTAAGTAAAGCTTTTCCCATGTCTAACAACTAAGAAGAAAAGAAGATGATCATTAAATAAAAAAATATTAGAAAAAACTATCTTTAATAAACTTACCCATTGCATTTGTCCCATTTCTAAATAACCATGCGACAGAAAATATATCTTCCCTTTTGGGTTTATGCCCATATGCAGTACCGCTTCTGGATCATTCAAATCAATATACTTCGGATTTTCCATAGATCTTTTCGTATAAACTGTATAGTGTGGTTCGATTTGTGAAGGCTTTTGTGGGTGTACATTGATTTGTCGAGTATTTGTAGTCCAGGGTCCATTTAATGGAAAGCAACCATAAACTCCGTAACATTTCACTTCATTGATGTCTAAAACAAAAATGGTAGAATATGGTAGAAAATTAATGAAAATAAGGGTAGAGTAAAAAATAATAGAAAAAAGAGAAGAAATAATAAATTTAAATTAACAAACTTTAATTTTATTTAGAGAAAGCCTGATGCCGGCTCAATAATAAAAAGGATCGATTTTTTAAATTAAATAGCTTTGAATTCAGATTATTTACTTGTTCTTTCACTGTATATACTCCTAATTCTAGCACACTTCAACAATCTTTTTTATGCACACCACCTACTACAGATTTTGTAAAATACAGACTGAAACCTTTGACCAAGTTAGCTGCTCGTGCTAAGCGATTGCTAGGAAAGGTGTGCAGTATACTCATTCTGGAATCTAAAATCAAGAGACATTATAAGGTTTGTTAACACCCTTCATTTGTCCAAGTAAACTTAAAAGATACTAAATGTGGTTATTTTTGTTTTTTAAAATATACTAACTTTTATTTCGAATGTTTTTTTGTGTATCTCTACACGTGTTTCGGCAAATTCGCTTTTGCCTTCATCAGGAGAATTCCTAATATTAAAAAATTTAGCAAACTTACAAACCATGTTTATACCATAAACATGTTATTTTTAATACTAAACTTAGTATTAATAAATCCTAAGGTTATTGTCCTTGGGGGTGACAGGTAAAAAATGGTGGCGGGGTTGGTCTGGTGTTGTTTTTATTTTTACATACAGGTAGTTAGGTTGACTGGTTGTTGGCTTTTTGGGATGTATCTAAAAAGGCACGATGACACGTTGCCTTTGTCGCCGTTGAGTAAAGTTGTGGTATGATGTTTATGTATTTCGATGCTTTCTGCCGTTTCTAATTTCCAGCTATCCCTTACATTTTTGATTATTTGGGCGTTATCCCTGTTGATGTGGTGATTTTCCTTTACTATATGTCTGGCGACATTTGATTTTTTGTGGGGGTTCATTTTCTTCGATGCTTCTCTTGCTTCTTTCAGGTGGTCTTCAATTCTTACTGATAAGGGTCTTTTGGTTTGTCCGATGTATACTTTGTTGCAGGAGCCACACTCTATTTTGTATACTCCGCATTTTTCGAATTGGTCAATTGGGTCTTTTGCGGATGGTAAAAGGCATTCAAGTTGGTGTGGTCTACTAGAGTGAACTAAGTCGATATTGAACTTTTTTAACTTGGATTTTAGACCTTTGGAGACAGTGTTATTGTATACTACAGCGACTCTTCTTTGTTTTGGTTTTTCTGCTGTCAATGTCGCCATGTTCCTGGAATGTAGTTGCCTTCGTTTCTAATTTATGATTCTATCGATGGTGTTCTGAGGGTATCCGTTGATGTCCGCTATTTCTTTAATGTATGTGGTTTCTTCATTGATGGCTGCTTGTGTAAGGGGTAGCGTGAGCATTCTATGTATCATGTGATGAAAAGCAGCCATTTTGTGTTGGAATGAATGGTTTGAATTGTTGGTTAGGACACGTTTTGTGCTCGTTGGTTTCCTGTAGATGCTAAATTCGAAAATGCCGTTTTTGTATTGTGTAAGTATGTCTAAGAATGGTAGGCAGCCGTTGTTTTCTCGTTCGTGTGTGAATTCAATGTTCCTGTGTGCACTGTTGAGGTTTTCTAAAGTTTCTTGTAGCTTGTTTTTCCTTATGATTGCGAATACATCATCTACATATCTGATCCATACTCTTGGTAGGTAATAAAAAAAAAAAAAAAAAAAAAAAAAAAATTACCTACCAAGAGTATGGATCAGATATGTAGATGATGTATTCGCAATCATAAGAAAAAACAAGCTACAAGAAACTTTAGAAACTCTCAACAGTGCACACAGGAACATTGAATTCACACACGAACGAGAAAACAACGGCTGCCTACCATTCTTAGACATACTTACACAATACAAAAACGGCATTTTCGAATTTAGCATCTACAGGAAACCAACGAGCACAAAACGTGTCCTAACCAACAATTCAAACCATTCATTCCAACACAAAATGGCTGCTTTTCATCACATGATACATAGAATGCTCACGCTACCCCTTACACAAGCAGCCATCAATGAAGAAACCACATACATTAAAGAAATAGCGGACATCAACGGATACCCTCAGAACACCATCGATAGAATCATAAATTAGAAACGAAGGCAACTACATTCCAGGAACATGGCGACATTGACAGCAGAAAAACCAAAACAAAGAAGAGTCGCTGTAGTATACAATAACACTGTCTCCAAAGGTCTAAAATCCAAGTTAAAAAAGTTCAATATCGACTTAGTTCACTCTAGTAGACCACACCAACTTGAATGCCTTTTACCATCCGCAAAAGACCCAATTGACCAATTCGAAAAATGCGGAGTATACAAAATAGAGTGTGGCTCCTGCAACAAAGTATACATCGGACAAACCAAAAGACCCTTATCAGTAAGAATTGAAGACCACCTGAAAGAAGCAAGAGAAGCATCGAAGAAAATGAACCCCCACATAAAATCAAATGTCGCCAGACATATAGTAAAGGAAAATCACCACATCAACAGGGATAACGCCCAAATAATCAAAAATGTAAGGGATAGCTGGAAATTAGAAACGGCAGAAAGTATCGAAATACATAAACATCATACCGCAACTTTACTCAACGGCGACAAAAGCAACGTGTCATCGTGCCTTTTTAGATACATCCCAAAAAACCGACAACCAGTCAACTTAACTACCTGTATGTAAAAATAAAAACAACACCAGACCAACCCCGCCACCATTTCTTACCTGTCACCCCCAAGGACAATAATCTTAGGATTTATTAATATTAAGTTTAGTATTAAAAATAACATGTTTATGGTATAAATAGTTTGTAAGATTGCTAAATGTTTTAATATTAGGAATTCTCCTGATGAAGGCAAAAGCGAATTTGCCGAAACACGTGTAGAGATACACAAAAAAACTTTCGAAATAAAAGTTAGTATATTTTAAAAAACAAAACTAACCGCATTTAAACATTTTCGAAGTAACGACTCAAAAATTAAAACAAAAATAAATTAAAAGATACTGTTTAAAGCACAATAGATCTTAAAGATCGCAGAGTTCCATTGTCTCTTCTAATAATAATAACACACTTGATACGAATATAAACTAGATGGGAACTAGACTAGATGATTTACAGAAAGTCTAATAATAATAATTTTGAAAGGTGCAAAATGAAGTATTCATTTTAATTATCACTTGATTGTTTTTATATATTTATACTAATATGAATTAATATTTATTGTTATTAACTGTTAAAATATTATAGAGTTATTGAACTCAATAATTGACACAAACTTACAATAAGTAGTCTTCATACCTTAATCTCCCTCTTGTTAGGAGTATAATTATTAATTATTATATTTCTACAAATAATTTATTTTTTATTTAAAATTTTATATTTTTTTATACTTTCTTGCCAGTATTTGTATTGAGTTGAATTATATACATAACAATCGAAATTGCTAATAATATCGCATAAATAAGCTTAACCCTAAGGTGACCCCACTTACACTCAAATTTTTCCAATTATCAATAACGAACTCAAATTTTGTCAATTTTATTTTTATTATATATACAAAGAACACATTTGGTCATATATATACACAATAAAAATAAAATATTAGATTAAATTTTTAATAACAATAATTTTTTTTTTGTTTTGGTAATAAAAAATTAATTATTTTTACTATAAGCAATTTTTATTTACGTCAATTATCTGCATTGGTTTGTTTACTAAATTTGACTATTTGTTTAGAAAAAATGTTGAACTGTCTTAAATTTAACACAAAATAATAAATTTATTAAATTATTTTTCCTAAAAGACTTATTTACATTTCTAAGTAGTTCGCCGGTTAACAGAATCAAACAGAATCAAAATCAATTAACAATAAATTTTTTTAATGAAAAATAAAAATGTACTGAAATTAATATAAGCATTGAATACACTAAAAAAAATTCAAAATTTTTATTTAGTTTAAAAATGCTCTGGTTCATATAAAGTTTTAAAGACTTAAAACCACAGTTTAACCAGTACTAAATAACTTCAGAAAGGATTGAACATCAACTGATGTAGTGTGAAGTGATTATTACGTACATAAGTGACATACATACAAGCGAAAATAGAAGAAGATATTTTCAAAATAACAGTCTGTGATATTTTTCAATTCAGCAGTTAAAAATATCATGGGATTAATTTTTTTGTTGACCAGTGTAACTAATTTCGAATAAAAATACAGGTATATGTGTAAAAGGTGTTCATAATTCGGAAAAACCGGTGTTAATTCTTCTCAGCTTTTAAATTTATTTATAAAAATTCACTAATAACAAACGAAAGCACCTAGACTTTGTAAGGTAATTGAGCTTTCATAAAAATCAGTAGTTGCACAAATGTCTTTGAGTTTACTTCTCTCGGTTTTTTTTATAGAAAGTTTATGTAATTCTAATAATAATAGTGCATATATTAATATATTTGCACACTTACAGTATATATAATATATTTTATATATATTTTATATATTATATATGATAACAAATCAGATTATTTAAAAAAACATAATTCGACACATTGTAGAATATTAATCAAAAATTAATTTCGAATATATTAAATATTTTTATAAGATAAAATTAAGAAATTTTCGAAGAATTGATTTTGCTCAGTGTAAAGTTCGAAAATCTAATTGTGTTCGAATATTTTTCGGAAATGTCAAGTGTGCATTATTTACTGTTAATAACGAGTGTTGTGTGCGTGCTAAAGCAAACGCGGACGTTCACTGGTGAGTGCTGTTGCGTACAGTATTTAACAATAATCCATACTCGTATAGACACGAGTTGGTTTTAGTTTTAAAATAGTTAAAGAAGATTTGCATTAAGAAATCGGTGCATATTACATGATCCAAAAAGGCTGCTTTTGGATATTATATTGTTGTTAATAATATGTGGTGCATATATGTATATGTGGTGCACTCATGATATTTTCAATTTTCTTTCTTGCATCCACATATCGAAGCTGTGTTTACGTCCAGAACTAAGCTCTGTTTAAGATAACTGATCAAATGTAACATATTCCCAAACGTAATCATATAATATGTTCCCATTGCCGTCGTTAAAGCATTTTCTTTGCTTAAGGTCGCCAATGAAATTTTATTAACCATACATATAAAGAGTTTTCGTGCTTTTTAATTTTCTTAAGAATAAATTTAGGGAAATTATAGCAAAAATGTTAAATGCAACATTGCAAAACATACTTCCCAAAAGGGAAATGATCGAAATTTAACATATTTGATATATGAAACGAAATTTAAATAAACAAAAAACAAAGAAGTTAAATAATCAATAGATAAGAATTTTTTAAAATATTTGTTTTCAATAAATAAAATATACATTTTCTTATATAAAAATATATAATGAGTTTATATATCAAATATATGTTTGGTATCATTATACAATATCATATATTATTTAAGAAGGAATATTCATTTCAGTAGTTGGATATCAATTTAAATGTAAGCAAGCAAAAGCTCCCGTAGAACTCTCTAATACATAAAAGCTCTTTCATATGCATAAATTACTTAACTTGACTACATTGGAAGCGCGATCTTAGTTCTAAATTAAATAGGTAAAATTAAGCCCACAGCAATTACGAGATTTATAAATAGTCTAAAATTATTTTAATCAGCCTTTAGGCGCACAATAGATCTTTTAGGTTGGCGTGCACTTATAGACTATTATTTAATAATAATATATAAATTAACTCATACCAATGAAAACGACCAAATCTTAATTTGATTAACATAAGTACTTTTAGCTGCATAGGAAACAAGATGTTATTTGCTAACAATTGAAATGTACATAAACAAAAGCTCTCCCAGCATTTTCACACAACTTACTGACCTATAAAAGCTCTTTCACGTGTATAAATCAACTTATGCCAATGGAAACGGTCAAATCTTAATTTGATTAACATAAATTGATATAGTTACAGTGTGAACATGGTGTTAGTTTTATTTTAATTTAATTGTCACTGAGCTAGAGATTAAATCTGTTAAAGTAATTTCTAGAAATTTTGTGACTGAATTAAATTTCTTTGTCGGTATTTCGCGTTTTTTGTAAAATTGTGTCTTTAAACTCACCAAAGAAAAATTACACAGGAATTAATATGAATATATGTTGATATAGTAATTTTATTTATTTTTATAAAAATAAAGGACAATTTTCTGCTATTAAAAAAAATATATATATTTTCCATTCTACTCCAACACTTTTTGCATTTTTTCTGGCAGTAACATGATTCTAAGCATAAGTATTGCCATCAAAAATATTGTATAGACATTAATAAAAAATAATTGAAAGCTGACAGAAAGCTGATGTACAACTAGACGCACCCATATTCTCCTGATCTGGTAATATTTTAGATGAGACTAACAACTTTTTAAATTTTCTCTTTTGTTTATTTTAATATTAATTTTTGTCATTAATTTTAGACGGAGACACTTGCACAATAGAGTCTATACCCGGTATTTGTAAGAGATCATCTGAATGCTCTCAGCTTAGCGAATATATCAAACGTGGAGATTTAGAATTAGAAGACATTGAGTGCGACATTGCGACAGCTGAAAATCTTATCTGCTGCCCAACTACATCATATTCGAAAGTATTGCTTTTAAAAAGGTTATAATAAATAATTTTTAATTTTTATAAAGTTCAGATAAATAATAATTAATAGATTATTATAAAAGTTCTTTAGTTCTGATACTTAAAATTTTTAATTAAAAAATACATTTAATTTTGTTCTTTCAGACTTCAACCTGGCCTAATCTGGTCAGTAACAAAAAAACCAATCAAAGAACGACCTGCTGAGAAAGGTATTCGCAAATATTTTAATTTCTAGTTGTGAGACTAGAACATTTTGATATTATGTATATGTGTATACTATACATATGTAGATTAAATAATATACATACACGTATGATATATGAATATAATATATATAATTTAAAAACCGACATTTCTGCCCCAATTAATGACAATTTAATTTATTTAATTTTATTTATTTATTTCCTGTGAAGCTTGTCACTTACTGGAGGAAAAGATAATCGTAAATTCAAATTTAAGGGTACTGAGTAGTGCATCTGTGGCACTTGGTGAGTTCCCACATATGGTAGGAATTGGCTATAAATCCAATGATGAACATAAAACCTATGATATCCGCTGCGGTGGTACTTTAATAGATGCTAAGTTTGTTTTAACTGCCGCACATTGTATAACAGTATCTGGAAAGCCACCTCTAATAGTTCGCTTGGGTGTTATCAATAATACCGATGTTGACGAAATTAAAAATGGTTTAGAAATTCCAATAAAAGTAAGTGTTTTAATTAAAAAATTTTATTCTCCGAATAAGTTTTTATTTAAATATTTATTTTTTATATACATTTAGAAAATACACGTACATCCGGAATATGTATCGACTGCTGCTTATAACGACATTGGATTATTAGAATTGGAAAGTAGTGTGAAATTTAAATCTAATATTTTCCCTACATGTTTATACACCAGTATTGATGATCCACCTACAGATTCTGTACTATATGCCACTGTTTGGGGAATCGCCAGTACAACAAGTAAGTAAACAAATTGGTAATAGAAACATTTCTAAAAATACACCATTTTTTTTACAGCTCGTAGACCTTTAGACGTTTTACTAAAAGGTGTACAGGAACTTGTGCCGTTGGACGTTTGTAACAGTTTATATAAAGAAGCAGGCTTAACAAAACGTAAACCAAAGGGTATAATACAAACTCAAATATGTTCGGAAGCTAAGAAATCAGAAAAAAGTCCTTGTCTGGGCGATTCAGGCGGACCTATAAGTTTAGTTGTGGACCCTACTTGGAGAATATATCGTTTAATTGGTGTAATCTCAGCCGATTTCAGTTGCGGTTTTCCAATACCAGACATAAATACTCGTGTTGCGGCGTATTTAGATTTTATTGAGAATATAGTTTGGCCGCATTTAAAATAGATTTAATTTTAATTATTTAATTTGTATTATATTTTAATTTTTGTATTATATTTTATATTATTAATTTTTATACATTTATTTTATGTTATTTTTATATTAAATGTATATACAATATTTATATATTTTATAATATTATATTTATTTATATTTTATATAATATTTACAATTTTTGATTGAAATATTTTTATAATCTTAATCAACATGTTAAATTTTTGTTGAAGGTGTTATTTAATTTCTCCTTTAAATTGAATGATAATCATTAAATTATTAATACAAACTAGAATAGAAAAGAACACAATGTAGTAGAATAGAAATGATCAAAGTACTAGCTCTTCAACTAATCGGAACACTGCCACGATAGTAGATCTTTTTGTTTGCAATCGACCCTAATGGAACAAAAAAACACTCATTCCTATACGATTTCGTTATAACAGATGGTGACAGACACCTCAAGCCTAGCATTCTTCTCCTAGTCTTTTTTGCAATCCAAACAGTCACAAAAGAATTACTATATAACTTATCTGCTACCAAACAGAACTATTATGCTTTCCTTTCTGAGAAAATCATCTGCCTGATATACGCTCTACAGCCATTTGCCGAGTTCGACAAAGATGCACCGTTGGCCACACTCAAAAACGGACTACACAAGCAGATCCCTGCATGCTGCAACATCAACCACAGATAGTAATGCAGGCTATGGTAACCCACAGTCTTAACTCTGCTTTACTGAGAAGACAATAATTAATAATTACAGAGCTATAAAAATTAGCTCTTAAGCTTAGCAGTTTCTCAGAGTGTTGCGCCAATAGTAAGAAAAAATTAAATAAATTACTTGAGTAGTGCGTTTTTCTCAATTTAGGGAAATAATAACAATTAATGAAAGTGGGTCATAATATTTAGCTATCATATTAAAATATTTTATCAACAGATACTGCATTATTAAGTCAATTTTCATATATTGAAATACAGTGGTTTTAAAGTCAACAGTTCAATAATTTTTAGTTATCAGAATTTAATTTAAAAATTAATCATTTTATTTCTGAGCGATCCTTTATATTTTTTTTATATATTTATGTACATACACACCATCAAATACAAGTTCAAAATGTTATCTTAATAATTGAACATGTAAAAAAATTCGAGTATCTGACTATATTATTTCCCAAACGAGTAGCCAAAAAAATTTAAGAAATGAAATGAAATCTTATTTTAAGATTAAATTTTTTGTATACTAGTGTAATTAGTTCTTAACACAAATGCACGTATGTGTGTGAAAGGTGCTGAAGATTCGGAAAAACCGGTGCTAATTTTTTCCTGATTTGACTTTTTTTTTTTATTTCGCTGATAAACAACAGCATCTAGGCTTCGTATCTGAGACGTCTTCTCACAAAAATCAGTTGTTGAGCAGACGCTTTTGAGTTTACATCGTTCGGTTCTTAAGTGCAGTTCTATACAAAGTATTAAAAGCATATTTAACACAAACAAGTACCAATATACATATATACATATATTATTTTACTCATCAATTAAACTGAAAATATTGACAAAATATATTTTTTGGCATATTGTTAGTTAATTTTTTGAAAATATATTTCGATTATTAATAATTATAATTTTATAATTTATAATTATATTAATTTTCGTTTGAAAAATTTAAAAAATGAATTTATAAAAAATTATTTAATTTTTTATTTATATGTGTGAGATCTAACAACTCAGAAGAGAACTTGAAAAACTGTGCGTCTCACACACATAAAATTAAAATAAATTAAGTAAAGAAGTGTATCATAATTAACTAACAAGGACTATCATTAACAAAGAGATACGATATTACGATATTATAAATACGATGTTGTTTACTTTATTTTCGTTATAAAGTACGAAAACTTAATTATCTTCGAATATTTTTCAGAAATGACAAGATCGCAAAATTTACTATTAATATTGAGCGCCGTATGTCTACTGAAGCATGCTTGGACGGCCAGTGGTAAGTCCATTGTTAAAAGAGTTTGACTTTATTTAAAAGATCGACTAAATTCATAGCGAATTTAATACTTTAACAAACGTTTCGAGTTAAGTAAAGATCATATAAAATAGATGCTTACTTACAAAACTCTCTATGGATTATAAAGCGAAACATTATACCTATTTGTAACGACAAATTTATTATTTTCGAAAGCTCATTCTTTCTGGAAATGTCTACAATTTTGATACATACTACATAATAATACATATAATAAATATTTTTGGAATATTTACAATACTGTCTTAAATGTATGAAAATAAATAAATAAGTATGCTTAATTAATGAGGTATATATAAAAGTAAATATGTATTCAATGAAACAGGGCTTTAACAGTTATAATTCTACAGTAACCGTATAAACTCATTTAAATATTTTATTTTATTTTAAGGGAACTATATTTTTGTTTCATTTATTTTAGTCGGAGACACTTGCAAAATAGAGTCTACACCCGGTATTTGTAAAAGAGCATCTGACTGTCTTCAGTTGAACGAGTACATTAAACGTGGAAATATAGAACTAGAAGGTATTCAGTGCGACATTGCGACATCTGAAAATCTTATCTGCTGCCCAACTACATCATTTTCGAAAACATGGATTTTAAAACGGTAATAATATTTTAATTTATATTCTCATATACTTTCGATAATTAATAAATTAAAGAAATAAAATAATTAATTAAGTGAAGACTAAAATTCCATTAAATTTTCTTATTTTAGACTTCAGCCTGGTCTGGTCTGGTCAGTAACAGAAAAATCAGTTAAGGAACGCCCTGCTGAAAAAGGTATTTATTCTTAAACATTTTAATGTTGCAAGACTACAATATTTTGTTATATGAGTATATTATAAACATGTATTTTATATACATGATATATGAATATGATATATGAGTTATATATGTTATTTAAAAAAGGATTAATTAATGACATATTATTTATTTAATTTTACTTATTACTTTGCATTTACTTTCTGTGAAGCTTGTCATTTACTGGAGGATAAGATAATTGCCAATCCAAATATAAGGGTACTCGGTGGTACATCTGTGGAACTTGGTGAGTTCCCATATATGGTAGGAATTGGCTATGAGTCCAATGATGAACACAAAACCTATGATATTCGTTGCGGTGGTTCTTTAATTGATGCAAAGTTTGTTTTAACTGCCGCACATTGTATAACAGCAGCTGGAATGCCACCTCTAATAGTTCGCTTGGGTGTTATCAATAATACCGATGTTGACGAAATTAAAAATGGTTTAGAAATTCCAATAAAAGTAAGTGTTTTAATTAAAACATTTTATTCTCCGAATAAGTTTTTATTTAAATATTTATTTTTTATAAACATTTAGAAAATACACGTACATCCGGAATATGTATCAACTGCTGTTTATAATGACATTGGATTATTAGAATTGGAAAATAGTGTAAAATTCACATCTGACATTTACCCTACATGCTTATACACCAATGTTGAAAATCCACCTGCAGATTCCCTATTATATGCCACTGGTTGGGGAATCGTCAGTACAACCAGTAAGTTAAAAAATTTATCATAAAAACACCACTAAATATATATAAATTTTTGAACAGCTCATAAGCCTTCAGACGTTTTACTAAAAGGTGTACAGGAACTTGTACCGTTAGACGTTTGTCATAATTCATATCAAGAAGCAGGCTTAACAAGACGAAATAGAAATGGTGTAATACAAACTCAAATGTGTACGAAAGCAAAAGAATCAGAAAAAAGCCCCTGTCAGGGCGATGCCGGTGGACCTATAAGTTTAGTTGTGGACCCTACTTGGAGAATATATCGTCAAATTGGTGTAATCTCAGTCGGTTATGGTTGCGGTTCTGCAATACCCGACATAAGTACTCGTATTGCTTCACATTTAGATTTTATTGAGAATATTGTTTGGCCGCATTTGAAATAAATTGAAATTTAATTATTTAATCTGTCTAATAAATTCGAATATTATATATAATGTATTGACTATGTACAATATTTAAATATAATATATAATTTTGTATTAATTAATTACTAATATCTTAATCAACATGGTGAGTTTTCGTTAAAGGTTTTGATTCATTTCTTTTTTAAATTTAACGTTAATTAATAAATTAATAATACAAACTAGAACAGAATAGAACACAATGTTATAGAATAAAAATTATCAGGTTACAAGCTCTTCAACGAATTATAACACTGAGGCCATGACCATGATTAATTTTTTTTACTTGCAACAGATCCAGAAAACAGGAAGAGAAACCCATCTGTAAAATTGGATTTCCTAACATCAGACCGTAACAGACATTTCAGTTCAAGAATTGCTCTACTAGCATATTGCAAATCCGTACAGTCACAGAAAAGTTTTCATAGGTCTTATCTGCTACCAAGCAGAACTATTATACTATTCTTTCAGACAAAATTATTTGTCTTAGACAAATCTATCGGCCGTATCTATGCCTCGAAGCCAGTTGTCGAATTCGACAAACAAATATCGTTCACCACACGCGAAAGGAACTACAAAAGCAACAACAGCGGGCTACAACAGCTACCATAGATGGTAACGTAGGCTATGGTGATCCCTCTAACAGCCTACAGTCAACTTTTTTTTTCGGAGAATGGTCCATTATCGTAGCACTAAAAACTAGCTTAGCGGTTTCTTGGAGTCTCGCGCCAATAGAGAGAAAGAAATTAAATATTTTCAATTTAGGGAAATAATAATAACTAATGCAAATGGCTCATAAGATTTGGTTCTCATATTAAAATATTCAACTATCACATAGTTATATATGTTATATATACAATTTAGCAAATAAAGTTGAAATACAGTGGTCCAATATTTTTGAATCATCAAAATTTAATTTAAAAATTAATAATTTAATTAATTTCTCAAATGAGTAGTCAAAAAAATTTAAGAAATGAAATGAAATCTTATTTCAAGATTAAGTTTTTTGTAGACTAGTGTAATTAGTTCTTAACACAAATACACGTATGTGTGTGAAAGGTACTAAAGATTCGGAAAAACCGGTGCTAATTTTTTTCCTGATCTAACATTTTTTTTTAATTCGCTGATAAACAAATGCATCTAGGATTAGTATCTAAGACGTCTTCTCACAAAAATCAGTAGTTGAACAGACGCCTTTTAGTTTACTTCTCTCGGTTCGTAGAATAGTTGTGCAGTTCTATATATAGTATAAAGTGCATATTTAATACATCAAGCATCTATATACATATATTATATTACTTATCAATTAAACTGAAAATATTGATAAGGTTCTTGTTAAAATATATTTTTTGCATATTGTTAGAATAATTTGTGAAAATGTATTTCAATTATAATTAAATGTTTTCATTTAAATAATTTAGAAAATCAATTAGTAAAAAATTATTTAATTTTTTATTTATATGTGTGAGATCCAACAACTCGGAAGAGAACTTGAAAAACTGTGCGTCTCACACACATAAAATTAAAATAAATTAAGTAAAGAAGTGTATCATAATTAACTAACAAGGACTATCATTAACAAAGAGATACGATATTACGATATTATAAATACGATGTTGTTTACTTTATTTTCGTAATAAAGTACGAAAACTAAATTATCTTCGAATATTTTTCAGAAATGACAAGACCGCAAAATTTACTATTAATATTGAGCGCCGTATGTCTACTGAAGCATGCTTGGACAGCCAGTGGTAAGTCTATTGTTAAAAGAGTTTGTTTTTATTTAAAAGATCGACTAAATTCATAGCGAATTTAATACTATAACAAACGTTTCGAATTAAGTAAAGATCATATAAAATATATGCTTACTTAATATAAAATTTAAGCCAAGAAATCATCTTCCAATGTTAAAGCCTGTTAGTGAAAAACACTCTATGGATTATAAAGCGAAACATTATACCTATTTATAATGAAAAATTTATTATTTTCGAAAGCTCATTCTTTCTGGAAATGTCTACAATTTTGATATATACTACATAATAATATGTTACATATAATAAATATTTTCGGAATATTTACAATACTGTTTTAAATGTATGAAAATAATTAAATAAGTATGCTTAATTTATTAGGTATATATAAAAATAAATATGTATTCAATGAAACAGGGCTTTAACAGTTATAATTCTACAATAACCGTAAACTCATTTAAATATTTTATTTTATTTTAAGGGAAGGGAAGTATATTTTTATTTCATTTATTTTAGTCGGAGACACTTGCAAAATAGAGTCTACACCCGGTATTTGTAAAAGAGCATCTGACTGTCTTCAGTTAAACGAGTACATTAAACGTGGCGATATAGAACTAGAAGGCATTCAGTGCGGCATTGCGACATTTGAAAATCTGATCTGCTGCCCAACTACATCATTTTCGAAAGCATGGATTTTAAAGAGGTAATAATATTTTAATTTATATTTTCATATACTTTCGATAATTAATAAACTATAGAAATAAAATAATTAATTAAGTGAAAACTAAAATTCCATTAAATTTTCTTATATTAGACTTCAGCCTGGTCTGGTCTGGTCAGTAACAGAAAAATCAATTAAGGAACGACCTGCTGAGAAAGGTATTTATTCTTAAATATTTCAATGCACACAACTACAATATTTTGTTATAATGGATATGAGTAAATTATATATATTTATATTATATAATATACATGCACGTATGATATATAAATATAATATATGAGTTACATATGTTATGCTATTTAGAAAACGATTTTTCTGACCCAATAATTGACATATTATCTATTTATTTTTACTTATTAATTTGCATTTACTTTCGGTGAAGCTTGTCATTTACTGGAGGAAAAGATAATCGCAAATCCAAATATAAGGGTACTCGGTGGTGCATCTGTGGAACTTGGTGAGTTCCCATATATGGTAGGAATTGGCTATAAAGCAAATGATGAACAAAATACCTATGATATCCGTTGCGGTGGTACTTTAATAGATGCTAAGTTTGTTTTAACTACCGCATATTGTATAACAGTATCTGGAAAGCCACCTCTAATAGTTCGCTTGGGTGTTATCAATAATACCGATGTTGAAGAAATTAAAAATGGCTTAGAAATTCCAATAAAAGTAAATGTTTTAATTAGAACATTTTAAATTTTCAAATGTTTTTATTAAATATTTCTTTTTTGTGTACATTTAGAAAATACACGTTCATCCAGAATATGTATCGACTGCTGTTTATAATGACATTGGATTATTAGAATTGGAAAATAGTGTGGAATTCACATCTAACATTTTTCCCACGTGTTTATACACCAATGTTCAAGGTCCACCTGCAGATGCCGTATTATATGCCACTGGTTGGGGAATTACCAGTACAACAAGTAAGTAAACAAATTGATAATAGAAACACTATTAAAAATATATCATTTTGTAAGCAGCACGTACGCCTTCAGACGTTCTTCTAAAAGGTGTACAGGAACTTGTGCCGTTGGACGTTTGCAATAGTATCATATCAAATTTAAAGAGAGTAAAACAAACTCAAATATGTACGAGAGCTAAGAAATCAGAAAAAAGCCCCTGTCGGGGCGATGCAGGTGGACCTATAAGTTTAGTTGTGGACCCCACTTGGAGAATATATCGTCTAGTTGGTGTAATCTCAGTTGGTTATATTTGCGGCTTACCAATACCAGACGTAAATACTCGTGTTGCTTCATATTTAGATTTCATTGAGAATATTGTTTGGCCGTATTTGAAATAAATTTAATTTAAGTTATAAAAATTTTAATAAAATTAAATTTATCTAAGAAATTTTTATACAATGCATTACGATTTTTATATAATGCTTGAAAACATGTTTTAAACTACATTAAATTAAATTTGATTAAAATATTAAATTAATTAAATTAAATTAAATTTAAAACATTGCAAATTTTTATTAAGAGTTGTGTTGGATTTCTCTTTTAAAATGAATGATAACTAATAATTTATTATTATAAATCGCAAGAGAAAAATATTAAATAAATTAATCGTATTTTTCGGTTATATCTAAAATATTTGGCACACGTTTTCTTTATAGGGAAATGACGAGAATTAATTTGTGTGGTTCGTACTATCATATTGTCTATATCTTATCGGCAGATAATGCTTCACTAAATCCAGATATTTGTGCTTATTAATGCCTATCATAAATCTTACTGTTTTTAACGCTACATTTGGGAAATTTTAAGAATTTAATCACTGAGATAAAGGGCTTAACAGAAATTAATACTTAAAGTATAAAAACAAAATTTATTATTTATTTTGAATAGATTTTTTTAATGATATGTGTATTAAAATAATTTAGAAAAATATACAAATTTAATAATATATTTTCAATCAAATTAAATCTCTGCATAACAAAAAAAAAATAACTTGTCAAGTAAGACCTTTGCTATTTAAAAAGAATTCAAGTTGATTTCATTCCCCTACCTACTCAACTGAATACTTGTTTTGGTTAAAATGGATTATAACCGTAGTAATAAATCAGGATTTAGTGATAGGAAAATTATCCTGCGACTGATTAGCAATGTTTGCTAAAAACATCCTGAGGTTAAAAAAATTAAATCCTGAAAGAATGTATTACACTAAGACGAAGTGCAAACCTAGTCGCCTAAACTAGCATCGAGCTGGTTGTAGTAATGTAGTTCCGATAGGACAAGGTCTCTGCAATGAGAGAGTGGGGTTTAGTCCTTGCGAGTTGGGCATTTACTTTCCGGAGTGCTGGATCGTGGACGGTGCATAGGCATTCCCTTCTGCTAGCCACACAAAAAAAAAAAGACTAGTTATTATTAAGTGGGGAATACTATACACTGCGACTCAAGAGAACTTTGTACCTACTGAGAGTAGCAGGTGATTAAATCTTTAATGAGCATAAGCACTTTAAACGATTTTGTTTTATATTTTAATGGGTAAGTATACCCATTAAAATGGGTAAGTCTAATTCTGCTCAGTTTTAAGCATTCACAGATGATGTGTTCAGACATTTGAACAATCTGTTTGAACAAAAGATACAAATAATGGTCCCTCAAACAAAAATTTTGTTGAAAATCTTGGTCTGTACGGTCAGAAACTCGTTAAGAATTTAAATATCGTCTCTAACCTGTGCAAGAAGGCATTTTAAGACTAGCTTAGGTGGATTCATGTATCTATCAAACTACCTTTGGTTTCTCAGGCTTTACTATTTAGTCCAGTTTTTTTTAAATTACGACTGACGGGCAAAGTCATATCATTGATTATTTTTCAATTATATTATTTAACATCGTAGACCATCTGCAGTGAATGTTCTTTATAAATATATATTACTTAACTTTATATAAGTGTAACATGTATTTTAATTATTAAAAATAACTAACTTTGTAATTAAATGAAAAGTACTCTTATTTTTCTAATATGTGTCCTCTCTCCAGAGTATAGAACAGCTCAGGTTTAGTTGATTGGTATACTCCTCGTTCGATAAAGCTGTCCGCGGTTTCGTTTACTTAATACTTCGGCTATGAAATAATGTAAAGTCGTAGTCAATGATCCTAGATTGATCTGTAAAGTACGTGACAATATCATATTTATTTAAAGCCCCATAGATGTTAAAATGCACTTTACTTGCCTCACACTTGTGACAAAAATTATGCAAAAGAGTATTTAACTTGTTATAGTTATAAAACAATATGTTTTAAAAAACTTTATTTTATTTCTATAAAATAAAAGAAAATCACTATATTTTATTCTAAACTTTATTTATTCTAGCTAACATAAAGCTCTTCAAATATTTGTATGAAGGAAGTACCGGTAAGTACTGAAGTGTTATATGGAAAAAGATGTCATAAAAGTGTGCCAACCGAGATACTTCGCTTAGCATATGTAATTTTCTAAATAATAATGCTTATAACTAAATTACATTTAATTACAAGTTTGGAAATCTTAAAATTACAAATATTTTCTACGAACAGATATTTGATTTAATTTCCTAACATAAACAAGTCAAGTTAAAACTTAATCAAGCAATTATCTCATGACTAATATTGACTATAGAATGGATATAAACTGCAAAAAAGTGAAACAATATTATTAACAATACTATTGTTGAGTAAACTCAACAGCCCATTTGCGAAAAAAACAGATCTAAGGTTCAATGAATGAGAGGGGGAAAATCCATAAAAAACAATTGTGGATTTAACGAAACCGGCATGCGCGATTGCTGCCACTGGCACAAGACAGAATGTATCTTATCTTACGCTCTTGCGACTATCTTGCACTGACTTGTCAAAAAATAAAATACAAAAATACCTGCGTATTATTAAGATTTTGTAGCTAGTAATTCCACTTAAAATTCTTAGGCATGAAGCAAAAAAAACTAACCACAGTACATGAGTAAGGTACAGTGGAGCAATCGTAACTTGATTGCACCGAGATTATAATGAATTGAAAATATAAATCCTCAACAACATTTTTAACAAACTGATAAAGACTAATTAAGTTTTAACTAATTGAAACTATCCGTGTTACAATTTGGGTATATTTTTTATATTTTTATGTTTCAATGGAATAGAATTTAAAGAATACGACTTCGAATTCTTGTATTAAGTAGTTCCATCTTAATATAATATGTTAGGTATCAAAATTCGATAGCAAAATTCGAATGTGGGCCATCCATCTGAATCATCTAACAACTAAAATCCTGAAACCCACATAAACCATCTATATTTTGAGAATACTGAAAACTAATTTTCATATATGTATACTAGATCATCAATACGAGAGATTGCGACGTTATGCTCCATTAGATATATAAAATAAAAAAAGATTTGGTCATCAATTTTGGCAGTCAATCAATCTCAATATTCGCGTAATTAATACACTTTGCTTCTAAAGATATATGCATTATTAAAACTGATAATATAATTTTGTTAAAAAATTCTTTAACCCTTTTGCGACTTAGTTTTATTTCCGCTTTTAAACTATAAAAAATTATTATAATGATTAATATATTATAAATAATCTAATCTATATTATAGATTATATAGTAAATATATATAATAAATATATATAATAAACATAGTTTAACATAAATAGTAAAAATATGTAATAGATGTTTTTAAAATTGTTTCAGTGCTTTACCATTACTGTATAGGACTGATTTGGTGCTCATCAATTAACACTTGATAGCCTGAGTTTAGTTTAAGGAGTACTTTTATGAACTTTTGAAACAAGATTTTTTAAATAAATCAAATGCAATTACTTTTTCAGAAAATCTCTTTCTAAGGGTATTTGAAATTACCAAATCATTAGTTTTATTGGTAACGTAAATCTATGTGCTCATTAAACACGTATAATTATTGCTTCTCTTACATATTAGAACTCTTGACCCCGAAATATTATTAATCGTTTGGATTGAAAAATCATATGAATATAAAATATATTTATACATCGTCTGAATCTATGTATACATCATTAGTAACACTAGACCTCATGTTAACGAGCCCAGTTGCGATTTTATCACATATAATTCATTCACCTCCTCTACACAAGATGTTTTGATCTCGGATCATTGTTCATTGTATTATTAATTCATAATTAAAACAATAAAAGGAAGTATAAAATATATTCAGATTACAGTGTTATTAAAGAAGAAAAAAAAGAAGGTTGCAAAATAGTGTAAAATCAACATTACCATATTAATCAATATTTATTCTATACGCAACTCTACAACAGAAATTGTTAGGAAACTGTACAATATGTGTGACCAGAGTTGCCAAGTTTTTTTTTAATAAAGTAAAAGTATGTAATGTAAACAAAAGGATTACATTTGTTAAAAAAAATAATTAATTACTATATTAATGATGTGCCCGACATTCTAAATATCTATACGAAATCTAGAATTATGACTTCTAAGGGCTTTCATGTTTGTGGATAATATATGCATGATTTATGAATGAATCATATCCATATCAAATGGAATTTTGTTCACAGATTTATGTACAGTATTTTACCACAAAATAAATTTCTTTATAAATAATTTAAATTTTTAGAATATTTTTTTGCATAATTTATTATAATAATTAATACCTCTTGAATGACGTGTGCGTTAGATTTTAATCGCCAATAAATATCAAGTTACCGAATTGTCCTCATACTGTTATAAAGTTTGCTCTTCTATTACTCATTTGATTAAGGCTTATATTAAAAAGAAAACAATATATGTATGTATAACTACAAATACATATATAATGTTTTTATATATTAATCGATTTTTTTATAAAACATTTCTTTGTCAAAATAAAAACGCAAGTATATTGGCGAAAATTTCATCTCTTCGAGATCAGTAGCTGAAGAAGCGAGTTTGAGTTTGTTTCGTTCGGCTCCTCAATTTAATTTTTTACAAATTATTTATTTAAGTAAATATTTATATAAATGTGCACACATCTCTATATATTTTTTGCCCAAAATATTAAACAATGATAAAATTATTAATACGAACAAAAATCTTGTTTTGACATGAATTGCGCTGAACCACGAGATTTTGAAGTGTTAAAATAAACAAAATACAAAAAATAATTGAAATTTTATTTTGACTAAATTAAATTGAATTTTCGAAAAATTAATAATTTAATTTAAACACCTTAAAAAAATTATATCAATATTAATTTCTCTAATATATATAAAATAATAATTTATATGAAAAGTTATATTAAGAATAATTAAGTGTAAAAAATTAAAAAATCTTACAAATTGAATATTTAATTTTTTTTAAAACAATAGTGAAATATTTTTA